CCTGCATTGGGAGCATGGAGTCTTAGCCACTGGGCAACCAGGAAAGTCCCATGCCTTAACTTTTTTTCATGTCTCAGACAAGAGGAATACTTTTGTGACAATGCAGGACATTGCGGTTATATTTTTATGTCTGTTTGATTTGGCCTGGGGAGAACTTATTTTATTATTTTTAAATCATTAATTCAAAATATTGTGTTTCTCATATACGTTGCCACACTGCTGACTAGTTGTACCAAAAAGTGCCAGTATGTGCAAAATGCAAATCTCATCTCAAAATGAAAGCGTCAGTCTCTAAATGGTTGTGCTTACAAAAGCACACAAAGCCAGCCTTTTCTTCCAGATGGTGTGGAGGTGGGGGTCAGTGCCACATGCGGGGTGCCCACTGGCCTTGGGTCTGGAGGGAGGGAGCAGCAGGAACGGCTTCCTTGGCACTGGGACCCGCGTCTCAGTGGGGTGGTTCTTACTCCAGTTTAAGACGGAGAGAGGTTGTCTGGCATGCCTAAGGTCACACAGCCAGCAGCTGTGACAGAGAGGGGGAAAAAAGACATCAGAAGATGCAGAAGGGCCAGGAGGAGTTCTCCAGCAGTTTCTCTCAGTTCAGGGAGAAAGTGAGGAAATCAAACCCAACAAGACCCCAAGCTGGGCACCTGGTGGGTTTCTGTCATGCACCCCTCCCACATCATGCCCATGCACAAGCCTCTCCCACCCAGGGCTCACCTGGCCACCCCGCCGAGGAGGCCAGTGGAGTGCCAGCCCCGTCCTGCCCTGCCCACCCGTCCAGGTCTTCTACACACACGAGCTCCTGGCTGACCTGACCTGACCACCGGGCACATCAGCACAGGGGTCAGCACGGGGGCCGCTGTCCTGACACCAGACCCTGCCCAGGGGGCTCAGCACTGATGCCTCTGCTCCTCAGGGAGCCTGGCTCCTTCCTCCTCCACTTGCTTTCCATCCACCCTCAGCAGGGATGTTTTGAACATACCATGTAGCGGCTCCGAGGATGCAAGGTGACACGACAGCCTTGACCTCTGAGGGCGGGACAGCAGAGCAGACAAAGCAAGGGTGAGTTTCTAACAAAACACCGTGGGCTGATGCACACGAGGAGGGAGACCTGTGAGGGCTGAGACTGAGAAGCCCCGTTGGGAGGGCAGGAAAGCCAATGGGGGGAACGCATAATGAATGTGGAGGCCAAGGGGAGGCAGGCCCTGCCGTGGAAGCAGATGTCAGGACCCAGGCCTGGCACCAGCTCTGCTTGTGAGCTCTGTGCCTGCTCGGCACAGAGAGTGGTCCCAGATGAGTCTGGGGGTAGGGCACGAAGGGCCCCAGACCCTAAAGTCTTTGCAAGGAATCTGGACTAGCTTTTAGTGCAGTGAGAAAGCATGAGGGTATTTTCATTAAGCAGCAGAGTATTGTGATTCAGTTTGTGTTTTTAAAATAATTTCCCTGTTGCCATCAATTATTTGGGGAGGGGCATGCCCTTGGGGGAGGCTGTTTTCCTTGTCCAGGCCAGAGGTGGCAGCCATGTGCGTCGGGGAGCTGCAGGGGCTGCTTGGTTGCACGGTGTGGAGGTGGGGCAGGACGTGCTGCGGGGGAGATAAGGGGTGCAGGAGACCAGGGCTTCGTGGTGGTTCAGGTTTCTGAGATCACTGGGGGACTGGCAGGGAGGAGCCAAGGGGAGGGACAGTGGGAACCTGGGGTTTCAGTTCAGGCACAGTTTAAGGGATGAACCTTCGTTGCCTATCCTGTACAAATGAAAGTGAGAGGTGAGTGTGGCTGCTGGTGGAAGGAGGCCTCCAACCGTGGGCTCAGGCTCCCCACGGCCTCACTCACCGGTTGTCCTTGGCTGTGCCCAGCCCACCTGGAGGACACTGGGTGAGGAGCTGACAGAGGGGCGTGCCCTGGCCACCCACCTGCTCTGCCGGATCCCCGCTGAGCCGGCGACTTCAGGAGTAGCCCCAGACCGCACCCACTCCATGTGCAGCAAGGGACCCCCTCAAGTGTGGTCCATGTGCTCATGGTGCATCACCGACCCAGCCCTGGGGCAGCCCAGGCCCTGTACCCCTCGACACCTCCGGCTGCTCGTCCTCCTGCACAGTCCACTGAATGTGAGCCACTGGCTCTGGGCCCAGGGCCTCTGCATGAGACAGTCTCTCTGCCTGAAAGACTCTGACATCCCCACCCCCACCCACCTCGGCTGACGCCTTTCCACCCATGCAGCCTATCCCACATGGCCCCTTCAGGGAGCCTCCCAGACCTGTCCCCGGGATCTGGATTCAGGGTCGTCTTGTGGGCAAGCCTCCCGCAGCCAGACACCACCTGGTCACTCTCCGCTGCCTGCTCCCCTCACCACATCGAGAACTTGCTGGGGACCAAATACTGCTCTTACTCCTTTCTGTTGCTGAGGGGACCACGACACCCTAGTGTGATATTCCCTGCCACCCTTGGGTGACAGTCTCCTTTACAAATGGGGCATCTGCTTTTGTAGTTGCTGCTGAGGATGTTTTCCTCCCTGGGGGGTGGAGCTTTGCTGAGTGACTGTCAGTGCCCCTGGTCTGTGGGGTCCTGGGTTTGCTCCCCTGGAGGGTGAGGAAACCAGGTTCGTGGTGGTGATGGACCTTGATGGAAAGGCTTGGTGAGACCATGGTGGGGGGACAGGACTGTGTGAGTGTATTAGCTGGACACCAGGATCAACCTGGGCAGGCACCACTCTCCCCCCGACCCTCCCCCATCTCATGCTACTTTTGCCTTTTTGCAAGCAAGAGTCTCCTTTCCCTCCAGAGTTGCTCCTGGCTGTGCTCTGGGACCCTTCTTGGCCCACTGCAGAGGCGGAGGGAGGTCCTGCGGTGGGAGGGCTCAGCACCTGGCTCCAGCTCTGAGCTTGCTGTGTGCAGACAGCCACATCCTCGCTGGATGAGAGGAGGGTGGGGTTTGTAAGCACCGGCAGCAGCAGGCGACTGGGCTGGCCCTGGGCTCTGTGGGTCAAAGGTCACCGCTGTAAGGACTCAGTGGTGGGCGGCCTTGGGGTTGTCCTCACACGCCTGAGCTCCTGTTTCCTCACCTGCAGAGTGGGCTGATGGCTCACAGGATGGGGGGACTGCACAGTTAATCCCTGGAAAAACTCTTGGTCAGTGAATCAAAAGTGAGGGAGTCTCACCTTGGCTGGGGATCTGCCCACTTTCAGGGCTCTGTTAGTTGATGGCAGGGACCCACTTTCCCTGCCCTCCTTCCCTCCCAGTGACTGCCCATAACAACACTTCACATGTGAAGAATCACAACTACTGAAGGAAGCCATAGAGGCTGCTTGTAAATCAAATTAAATAATTAAAAGGGTATCTGCTACTTCCTAGTTTCTTCATTAAGCAGTTGGCCAGGCCTGGGTCTGCTGTGTGAATTCATTTTGAAATGGCCTGGGAGGCAAAATGACTTTAAACATAACTTTTGGAAGAGACAATTTCATTCTGCTTACTCAGCATGATGTAGCAATTAAAATGCTGGTTTTCCTCCTTTTTGAGAGCTACCCCTGAATAATTTATAACTTCACCCACCAGCGGCTGCAAGGTTCGCTGAAATAAAATTATTTCCAGCAGGGTGGCTGTGGAGCAGAGCCCGTCTTCCCAGCCTCATTGTCCAGTTGGCCTGGGCCAGTGCCCGTTGCACCAGGACTCTCTGGAGCCCTTCTAAGAAACGACTGGTGAAAGAAGATATGGTGGCCACTTTGCTCTCTGGGCCTTGGTTTCTTCTGTAAAATGAGGGCAACTAGAGCACTCTCTAGCCCTCAGGCCGCTGTCCCTGGCTTCCCTGGGTACTGTCTCAGGGTACCTCAGCAGAGGTTACCCAGTCATAGGTACCCTCTGCAGGGCCAGGCGCTGTGTTGGGTGCGCTCCCTGCCCCACAGACAGCACAGTGGGGCTGCTCTCGCTGCCCATTTTACGAGCAGCAGAGATGAAAGCTGCCCAAGACTGTGCAGCCAGTGAGAAGGAAATTTAGGATTTCACTTCCCAAGTCTGCCCGTCTGAATTTATTAGTAAGACCTCGGATGTCTCCTGTACATTGTCAGCATTAATTTTGCTGTAGAAAAGTTGTTTTTCAGAGACTGTCTAAATCAGTAGTAGAGAAAGGTTAGGGTGGGGCTGGGGTTAAAGTTCTGAAGAATCTGCACAGCTTTTATTAGAAATCATTAGGGCTTCCCTGTTGACTCAGATGGTAAAGAATCTGCCTACAGTGTGAGAGACCTAGGTTCGATCCCTGGGTTGGGAAGATCCCCTGGAGAATCCCCATGGACAGGGGAGCCCAGTGTGCTACAGTCCATGTGGTCGCAAAGACTCAGACACAAGTGAGTGACTAAGCAGAGCACAGCTCATAAAGATGCAACGGAAGCAAACTTGTCCCCTTTAAGTCTCTACAGACCGTTAGCCTGGTTTCCCTGGAGTTGAAAGTGATGTTTCTTAAGGATGTGTGTATGTGTGTGTGTTTCTAAAGACTGTCCTTGCATTTGTAAAACCTTTTTATGGCATTGGTGAAATTATCTAAATAAGCCCCTTCAGATGTATTTACTAATAAACTTAGAGTCACCAAGTAGAGTGCCTGATAAATTGCTCTCACCTGAACGGAATCTTTCAGGCCCCAAGTGGCAAAAAGCATTCCAAAGTCAATTAAGAAGGAAATGAGAGCCAGGAAGACACGCCGAGCTCTTTGTTCAGAGTTCCGGGTGTCTTTGGGTCTCCACCACCCTCCCCTGTGCGTCTTTCTCTTCTGATCCTGTTTCTGGGTTTGCCGGGTCTGTGGGGGCGGGATGGGGAGGCGTGTGCAGGATTCGGTGGGGACAAGGGGCCCAGAGAGCAGCAGCGGGGTGTCCTGTCTGGAGAGTGGGCAGGACGGCTTCCGGATGGGTGTCTGGGTCCTCCCGGGAGGGCGTGGGGGTGCGGGCGCTCGGGCGGAGGCCCGGTTTGGGGACGCGGTTGGCCGCAGCAGTAGCGCTTGGCCTGCCTGTCCAGGTCCCACCCGGAAGATGCCCCCCAGCGCCAGCGCCATGGACTTCTTCCAGCTCTTCGTCCCTGACAACGTCCTCAAGAACATGGTGGTGCAGACCAACCTGTACGCCAAGAAGTTCCAGGAGCGCTTCGGGAGCGACGGAGCCTGGGCAGACGTGACGCTGCCGGAGATGAAGGCGTTCCTGGGCTACGTCATCTCCACCAGCACCTCCCACTGCGAGTCGGTCCTCAGCATCTGGAGCGGCGGCTTCTATAGCAACCGCAGCCTCGCGCTGGTCATGAGCCAGGCCCGCTTCGAGAAGATCCTCAAGTACTTCCACGTCGTGGCCTTCCGCTCCAGCCAGACCACGCACGGCCTCTACAAGGTCCAGCCCTTCCTGGACTCCCTGCAGAGTGGCTTCGATTCTGCCTTCAGGCCTTCCCAAACCCAGGTGAGGCCGTGGGCCCCGGGCCGGGCCTCCCGGGGCGGCAGCGGTGGCCGTGGCTCCCTCCGTCCCGCCTGTACCCCGAGGTCACTTCCGGGCCATCCCTGCGCAGCCACAACCCATCCCGCCCCCATCTGATCAGCGGAAGGTGGTGGGGGAACGGCCCCAAACCACACTGAGCTCTCTGCTCCGAGAGGGTTTCCCTCCTCTTTTCTCATCCTTCTCCGTTAATTATCCTTTCTTTCTCAGCTGTGGTTTTTGCAGGGTAATGTTCATTTCCTTGTATTCTCTGAGTACCGTGCTCACCTGCTGGTGGTGAAGGAAAGTGAGCGGCCTTCTAGGGGTGCAGGGAAGGAGGCTGGGGTCCAGCGTTCTCAGGCCAGGGGGAGTGGCTCACGTGCTGGGTACCTGGCGCGCATGGAGAGTGGGTCCCGTTGAGGGAGTTGATGCAGCCAGCTGTCAGCCGTGACCCTGACTGTCACAGCCCCTCACCTTCCTCGCTACCTGAATGGGGCTGTTTGCTCTCAGCCCTGGCCTCCGGTCGACTATGGAAGTCGCATTTGGTTGTGGTGACAGAGTTCCAGAAGTCATCCTCAAAGTTGCTCTGCTGGTCTGGTAAACTTGAGAAGGTGACTCTTTCCAGAGATTGCTCTAACCACATCATCAGGAGGTTCCCGGGCTAAGTGAGCCAAATTCCCTCTGACTTGTTCCATGTGGAGAGAAAAATCTTACTTCTCTTTCATTTGTATATTTAAAGATCTACCTACCCACCCACTTTTTCTTATGCTTTTCATTAAGGGCCTTTGTAATGAGCCTCAAGCTCTTTTTGCGGTTCTCTTAGAGATACCCTCCAAATTTCCTCTCCTATCTTCACTGCACGACTTTAAAGCATGGGGTTTCTGTGGGGAAGATAATGCCCTCTCTGCCTTTGCAGGCTTCCCAGCTCCAGGGCCTCCTGTGATTCCCAGTTTCCCAAATCCTGCCGCTATTTACAGGGCAGCAGATGCTGATTGATCTTGCCCCTCACTTTCCTTCTTACCAAGACATGGGGTCTTAGGGGACACAACCTCTGCTTTATATAACAGGCCCTACAGGACCAAGTACAGGGCTGAGAGTGGTTTGTTTGTTTGTTTGTTTCACTGAATGTTTGCTTGGTTGGAAACGAACCAAACCAGACACATTGACTGGGACGCAAGGGGAAAAAACAATATTCTGAGCATACTGGAGTCAAACATTAGAAGAGCTGCTGGAGAGGTCTGAGTGCTCGCTAAGCCTAAGTGTCTTTTCAGAGTTAACCAACCGGGTCCTTAGGTGATTGGTATTTAACAGCCTGAAGATGAGGCTGCCGAAGGCCCTTCCAGCCGCTAGACGAGCTGTACCCGTGATTATACCCATGTTTGTCGTGTGCCTGCCGGGTACCGACCCCGTGCTGTCTGATCCTTCTGGAGCAGCAGCATCAGACACTGAGACCTACATCCCAGGCGATCCCCACGGCCACTTATGTGTGTCAGGGACTGTGGACATTCAGGGTTTAGGCGGATCATCCAGGTGGCGACCCCCTGGGCGGGCAACAGCGGGAAGTCGCAGTGCTGAGGAGGGGGAGCGATGGCTTCAGCCTGAGGGGCCTGATGGCACAGGCAGGCAGGGCCCCAGTCTCTTGTTCATCCCTCCCTTGTAGCCACAAAAGGCGGACACTGAGGGTAGGGCCCCGGGATGTGGTTTATGAGAGGTTGGCCTCCAGGCCCCAGTGCAGGGTGGGAAGGTGGAAGGGGAGTCTGGGGGGCAAACAGTACCTAGTACAGACCACCCAAGACAGAACTTGAGGCAGAGGGGAAGTCAGAACCCCTGGGGTCAGCTTTCCAATGTGCTGATGACAACCTGGAATTTCCTCTTCCTCCCAACTCTGGGCCCCCGTTGAGCCAGCTCTGTCAGGAGGCCGGAATGGGATCAGATAAAGGGGATGAGGCCAGAAAGTGTGCGTGCGGTGTGTGGAGCACCCTCAGGCCTTCCTGTGAGCTGGGGTCCTGCCCAGCTGGGCTGTCGAGGTGGTGGCTCTGGGCACACGCTCAGCCTCTCTGCCGTGAAGGCCACCTCATTCTTACACACATAACCATCAGCATCACGTACCTCTTTGTTAAGTGAAACAGGAAACTTTCAAGCTTTCCTGGCCTTCCAGTTGGCTCTGAGACATTCCATTCAAGGAGAAGGTGTGTTTGCGAGTCACCACCCACCTCCCCTGAGGCCTCAGGGCTCTCTTGACGGGACTTCACTCTGCCTGTGAGACCAGTGGGAACAGCCCCTGTTCCATCCCCACCAGACATGTGGCTGCTGTGTTCCCGACTCCCAGGAGTGGCTCTGCATCCCCACTGTACACACACCCCACCTCAGCACACAGCACCCTCACACACCCTCTGCCCTGCAGTCTCCTTTTCATTCCAGCAAATGTGACCCTTTGGGTGAGTTTACAAAGTCTTCAGAGGGTCCCCAGGATCGACCTGTAACCCAAGCTGTGGTATGTGCCCACGCACGAGTATTCATACACATACTGAATGGGCAGACTGAATGCATCTTCTCATGCCTGGGGGCAGGTTAGTTGGAGGAGGATCTGGGGAGGGCTTGTGAAAGAACACGACTGCCCTGGCTCCCCTGCACAACGCCTGCCCCTCGCCCGAGCGCGTCACCCGAGGAGGGCCTCAGACACAGCGCTGGGTGAGGCGGTGGCGGCCCCTGCAGCCTGGTGAGGAGGAGGCAGTGTTTGGAACTCTGTAGAGCGCCCTGCCCTGACTGTGATGGCTCCACATTCCCTCAAGGAGGGTGGGAAAGAGAAGCCATGGAGGCCAGGAGCTACTGCTGACCCTCTTGCTTTGGTGAAACGTCTAATGAAATATAAATTTGAACAGATTCTGTGCTGTGGTAAGTGCAGGTGGGATAGAGGACGCTGGCTTTCTGAAGAGCCGGGAGAGGGCCGCATCTTCCCCACTCTGCTCCATCTACTGCTCCCCCAGTCCATGTGTGGGACGCGGCCATCCTTCTAGAGTGGATTCCAAATGGGCTTTGAATATGTGATGAGCCGTGTGGAGCAGGGCATGGGTCAGCTTCTCCAGCCTCCCCTTCATGAGTAGAAGGCAAGGCAGGCCTTGTTAAGGGCTCCTGCTTCCAACAACAGAAAACTGCAGGGGCTGGTGTGCATGCCTGAGACCCAGCACTGCAGGGCAGTCATTTCTCAAGTGGGATTCGAGTGAACATTAACAGGAGAATGGAAGGCTACTGCCCATGTCACAGTTGGTCCATGTTAATCTCTGTCCTGCCCTCATCAGGCCATGTTCTGACATCACCTGGGAGCTTGTTGGAAAGGCAGGAACTCAGGCTTTGCCCCAAACTTACTGAAACAGAAGCCACATTTCAGCAAGATTCCCAGGTGACTGGTTTGTTCATTCAAGTTGAAAAGCCCTGATGGAGAGTGGCATTGGCACACAGTGGCCAGGTGTTGTAGACTTGGAGGGCCATGTGGTCTGTGTTGGGACCTTGTAGCCTGAAAGCAGCTACTGACAGTACATCAGTGAAGGGCACGGTGGGTTCCAGTACACCTTGATTTACAGCGGGGAGTGGGCTGGGCTGCAGTTTTCCAGCCCCTGATCCAGAGAGTTGTGAAGAGTTCTTGGAATCATAGTGATTCTAGTATTCTGTCAATACATTTCAGTGACCCACACACATACATACCAGCTTGTAAGTACGCTTGAAATTGGACTGGAAGGGAAGTGTAGCAGGTTCCTAAAATTTACCCAAAGGTCCTCCCCAAAGCTTTAGTTTGCAAAAACAGAACTTGAAACACCTCTGGAACCTGTTTTCATTGTGCCATTTCTTTTTGCTTCATTGTCTTATAATTGAAAAAAAAAAGTCCTATTATCATGCCATCAAAAAGCAGGAAGAGGTGAAGTGAGTTTAAAAATTGCCTGGGGAGTCCCGTGTCGGAAAAGACACGATGACCTGGGGGAGAGCCAGAGGCTGGGCCATGGCAACGAGGGAACTGGGTCATCTCGGGAATGGTTTTTAAAAAGAGAATGTTTGACCTGGGAAAAAGAAGGTCAGGGGCTCACATGAGAGCTGTTCAGAAAACCTAAAGAAATCATGCGTTTGTCTCCATTTCTCACAGGGGAGAAGTCAGTTCAGTACGTTTAGGTTAGATGTAGATCAGCTTTGAGTCAGAGAGCGATTGGAACGTCCATCTGTGGAAAGGAAAGTACTTCCTTGAAAGGAAGTAGCTGCCCTCCGCAGGCATGTTTAGCTGGGAGGTCCCTGTCCCAAGTGAGAGTTTGGACTGAGTAACTTATCATGCCAATAACTAAGTATCATCACAGTTTCCATTTATAAATACTTGCTAAGTGCTTTGCGTATAGTTTCTTACTTAATCCTCCCCCAAACACTGGTGTAGACAAGTGAGGAGACCCAGGGACACTCAGGATCAGAGAAATAAAGTACCTTAGCCAAGGTCGCACGGCTGATCAAAGGCAAAGACTCAATTTGAGCCCAGATCCGGTGACCCCCTGAGCTCATGCTGCCTTCCTGCATCTCTGCTTTGCCTTTCCTGGCAGGTGCTACATGAACCCCTGATTGACGAGGACCCCGTGTTCATTGCCACGTGCACAGAGAGGGAGCTGCGGAAGAGGAAAAAGCGGAAATTTAGCCTCTGGGTCCGGCAGTGCTCTTCCACCGGCTTCATCATCCAGGTGAGCCCTGGGCCGGCCCCGGAGGGCAGGGAGGACTTGGTAACCAGTGGACTTGCTTACTTGCCCTGTTCACTGCACGTCACTGGATGCTGCAGCTGAGGCTGGGTGGGCTGCTCTCCTCCTTGCAGGGAAACGGGGTGGCTGGCACTGCCCCCTGAATGCCCGCCCCAGCCCCTCTGATCAAATAACAGCTGTGAACACAGATCGGGGCTCAGTACCTGCACTGTAAACCAGCGGCTCCACCAGAACAGTGGGCACAGAGGTGGCTGCCGTGACTCTTGAGAGCACCCCATGTAATGTCCCAGAAAGGCCCCCAACCCTCGCCGAGTCTCTGTCCTCCCTTCCAGTCCCGAGGACACCTCCTCAAGGCTGCCAGTGGTGTCAGGAGCTCGGTTCTCTGAGCCAGTCCTGCCGCCTTCCCCTGCTCTGCTCTTCTGTTTTGGAAGAGGTGGCCAAGCTCTGCCGCAGGAACAGCGTCAGACATTGAGCTCCTGGAGCAGGCAGGGTGCAGAGCACGCAGGAGGAAGTGGGGCTGGCAAGCAGACCCCGCCTCACTGCCCTGCCAGGCTGCAGTGCCAGGCGCAAGGCATGAGGGTTGGCATGCCTCCTGCCCCCACAGCGAAGGAGTCACAGGAAGGTTAAGCTGAGCGTCTCCTCTGCACGTGCCCCGCAGCCGCCCACCTTCCCCTCTGGCTTCAGGGCCTCCGCTGGGGCTGGGCCTGGGGTCTCCAGCTGGCCTCACCTACAGGCTGCAGACTGTTGTCACAGGGACCCACCCCAGAGCAGAAACCACTCTGGATGTACCGCCTGGGTCCTCTGTTCCCACACAGCACCTGCCGACTCTGTAGTATCCTTTGTGGTGACACTGCTCTGGGGATCGGGGAGTCCATTTCACTGTATGTATGACCTTCAGTCATTCTTTGAATAAATTCTTACTGAGTGCTGTTGCCTGCAGCATCGGGCCAGACAGTGAAATCATGGCTCTGCCTTCTTAGGAGTCTGCCTGTGTGGCTTTTGATGGAATGTTCACCTGTGGGTTCTGTGTGCCTCTGGCGCCATTTCCTTTTTACTGTAAATTTAATGAGTGGCGAGGCCTCAGGACCATTCCCTGCAAGGCCACAGGTCTCCTCTCTGTGTGTACATTTTCCTTCTAGTTTCTATGAAATCTATAAAATCCCCATCTATCAAGTAAAAGTTTGGATTGGTACCTTGAAGTTTCCTTTTATTTCTAAAACTCTCTGGTTCTAGGAGGCCTTGTGCAGCTTGAGGGTTTGAATTTAGAAGCCAGAATTGAAGCTGGCCACTCCTATTCTTGGTCTTGCCTCCACTATGGCCGAGGCAACAGGAAGCCCCATTTGCGCAGGTACCCTTGGTTCCGCCTGCCTCGTGGCAGGTGGAATGAGGACTTTCTTGGCCTCCCCACTTCCCTGGTCCAGATGAAGGTGCCTGTGGTGGCAGCAAAGCAACGAGGGACACCTCTGCTTGCAGGGGACTCACGTGGCCTGGGGACAGTGGTCTTTTTAGCATCCTGACCCTTTTCTTGGTTCCCCAGGCCCTAATTCTGGTTAGGCAGTAGCCTGGGAAGATCCAGCCATGGTGCAAAGGGCAGGGGGTGCCTCCTCCCCACTGAGCCTTAATACTTGCATCTCCTCTGTTCTTACACCCCCTGCGTTTCCCAGATGAGATGGCTTAGTGCTGCTCTGTCCAGGGGCTCCTCCTAGGTCCTGAGGCCCAGCTCTGTGGCTTTCTGTGTGAACTGAGCTGACTCCCAGTTGCCCTGGATACCAGTGTCCTTATCTGTAGAGTGAAGGGATGGGGTAACTTAATCGGTGAGGCCCCTTCCACTGCAGAGTTCTGTGATTCTTATCTTTTTTAGCATTATGTATGGGGTAATGTATGCAAGCATGTTTTCTTCATTTTAATGTGTTAAATAAATTATTCTAAATGATTTTATCCATTGGAGAATCCAGGTGGCTAAACCTGAAGAGACTGTGGTCAGCCTGCGGCCCAAATGTCCCTCTGCTCCCTGCTGTCCTCTTACTGGTAGCAGATTGAGCCTGGCTGATGGGATGCAGCAGACGTGGTACGTGAAGGGGCCGGAAAGAGGGTGTGTGGTTCTGCTCTGGCCTCTCTGTGCTGACGGTGAGCAGATGTTCAGGCTGGATCACAGAGTTGGGAAACCACCTGCAACAGTGTATCACATGCCCCTGATCAATGTGGTTGGTTGTTACACAGTAACAGAACTAACCTGGGGCCTGCCAGTTAGGGTCTGCAAAGCTGACCAGATAACTTTCTTATTTTTACCTGTCATGGACTCAGCTGATACCTGGAAGGGATGGGGGTTTACTGGTGTATTTCTGGGGAGACCAAGGCCTGGCTTCGGCTTTATGGTGCCATTCAGCCAAGACTGAAAGGTGTGCTGGCTGGACTGCATGCTTTTGAGGTAAGTCCAGGTGATTAGCTCCACTTGAAAGATTCCAGGCCAAGGGTTAAGTGAGGAAAGTATTCCAAATTGGTCAGTGATTTCTCAAGTGGTCCCAGTAAAAGTCAGCGGGAGAGCTGACCAGGAGCTCCGACCCTCAGATGGGTGAGTATGTGCCCACAGGGCACCTGTGTAAGGAGGGAAGTGAACAGCTAGCCAGATGGTGCTGCTGAGAGGGAGGGTGCCAAGAAGAACCCCCGTGTTTTCAGTACCTTATATGTCTGCTGCCCTTGAGTTCATTTGAAAGGGAATCATATGAAAGTGGTTAAAAGTCCTATGTGATATAACTCATGAAGAGACTGTAGGAAGGTGTGTGGAAGAAGAGATGAAATGAACTATATTATCCTGAAAATTAACAACTTAATACCTTTCACTTCTGGGAGTGCAAGAGGCAGGGAGTAAAAAGTTCCCAGGAGAAAGAAGGCATCATCAGAGAAGGTGAGGTCACTTCAGAGACAGACTGAGACCCTCATGGAGATGCTGCCCCACTAGGTAAGGTGATGCTGCCTCATCCATCCTCAGATCTCCCCTCCAGCCCTCCTTCCAGAAGCCTTGCACGTGGGGTCTGACTCGTGGTAGGCCTGCTCCCCCACCTGACATTTGTAGACCTGCGCTGAAGGCCTGCTCACTATAAAGTGCTTGGCTCCAAGATATCTCTCTTGGTGTCTTTCTGTGCCCCAAACACTGGAAAATAGATCAGCATGTGACAGTGCCAGCCTGCAGTGCTCAGTGCTGAGGACCAGCCACAGGAGGCCACCCACTCGCCCTGTGAAGGAGACCACTGCCTGTAGGAGTGGGCCCTTGGGTTTCTGATAATCTGGCAAGTTGTCACATGAGTGGGGAGGGTGAAATTTGTATGGTGTATGTGGGCCTATTCTGAAGGAACATATCTTTTTTTTACTGTGATAAAATAAACATAACATAAAGTTGACCATTAAGTGACATTAAGTACACTCACTGTGTTGTTTGCTGAAAGGGAGGGTGCCAAGAAGAACCCCAGTGTTTTCAGTACCTTATATGTCTGCTGCCCTTGAGTTCATTTGAAAGGGAATCATATGAAAGTGGTTAAAAGTCCTATGTGATATAACTCATGAAGAGACTGTAGGAAGGTGTGTGGAAGAAGAGATGAAATGAACTATATTATCCTGAAAATTAACAACTTAATACCTTTCACTTCTGGGAGTGCAAGAGGCAGGGAGTAAAAAGTTCCCAGGAGAAAGAAGGCATCATCAGAGAAGGTGAGGTCACTTCAGAGACAGACTGAGACCCTCATGGAGATGCTGCCCCACTAGGTGAGGTGGTGCTGCCTCATCCATCCTCAGATCTCCCCTCCAGCCCTCCTTCCAGAAGCCTTGCACATGGGGTCTGACTCATGGTGGGCCTGCTCCCCCACCTGACATTTGTAGACCTGCGCTGAAGGCCTGCTCACTATAAAGTGCTTGGCTCCGAGATGTCTCTCTTGGTGTCTTTCTGTGCCCCAAACACTGGAAAATAGATCAGCATGTGACAGTGCCAGCCTGCAGTGCTCAGTGCTGAGGACCAGCCACAGGAGGCCACCCACTCGCCCTGTGAAGGAGACCACTGCCTGTAGGAGTGGGCCCTTGGGTTTCTGATAATCTGGCAAGTTGTCACATGAGTGGGGAGGGTGAAATTTGTATGGTGTATGTGGGCCTATTCTGAAGGAACATATCTTTTTTTTACTGTGATAAAATAAACATAAAGTTGACCATTAAGTGGCATTAAGTACACTCACTGTGTTGTGCCGCCATCACCACCATCCATTTCCAGAACTTCATCATCATCCAGAGCAGCTGGGAGCACCTCTCTTAGTAAGGCAACGATACTCTGTCGCACAGACAGAGTGAACTCCCTGTAAGCAAAGCACCTTCCAGATGCACCATGGATGCTGCTGCAGCTCGGGGGAGGGGTCACCTGGCACCATGGTCTGGTTCAGTGTTCAGCACTGGTCACACTCCCCCAGTCAGGCTGCTCTGTCTGCCATGCCTGTGGGACTCCTAGCAATGGGTGAGTGGCTGGGACAGTGTATGTACTTGGCCCCAGTCCCAGCGCTATCACCCGCATTCCATGCCCGAGAAGTGCTTTTGGTCACCTGTAGCATTCCCAGGAACTCTGCATCAGACAGCACTGGTGTCTCAGGATGCCCATGAGTGCCTGTTCCTCTCCTCCTCCTTCCCAACCTGGCCTTTCTGGTTTTCCCTTCTGGCATGGGCAGGGCTCAGAGGGTGTGATGGGTAATTTTGTGCCAATTTGGCTGGGTCAGAGTACCCAGATAGTTGGTCAAACACTATTCTGGATGTCCCAGTGGAGGTATTTATAGATGAGATTAACATTTGGATCAGTAGACTTTGAGTAAAGCAGATTGCCCTCCATCATGTGGGTGGGCCTCATCAAATCAGTTGAAGGCTTCACTAGAAAGGAGAGGAGATTTTTCCAGCAAGACAGCGTTGGATGTGAACTGCAACTATAACCTGGGCCTCCAGCCTGCCAGGCTGTCCTG